TTCGGATCACTGGTATCTAAGTCTTCCGCTGTGCTATCTTATACTTTGTATTGAAAGGTCGGTTCTTGTTCTGGTCTGCACCTATACGGWATGCAACARTTTGGTATCGGAGCGGACCTCTCATACAGAGGACCCGCTCAATCAAGTAGCCAGCTTGCGATCTATTGATCACTCATTAGTAACGCAAGTAGGACTTAGTCAAATCTCTGAGATTTTTTTTTTCTCGCAACAACTATCTGAAATTTTTGATATTCGCATTTTCGTTCTATCTGAAAATTTCTGATGTTAGTAGTTCGTTTTTACGTAACAAATATCTGAAAATTTCTGATAAATCGCATTTCGTTTTGTCTGAAAATTCCCGATAGAAGCATTTCATTTCTCTGATATTTCGCATACATAGCTGAAATTTCTGAAGTTAGTATTTTCGTTCTCTAGGCATATTGGGATAACGATAGAAGTGGTCATATTCTCGGAAACTGAAATTATTCTTTTCTGAATAGTATTTTCGTTCTCTAGGCATATTGGGATAACGATAGAAGTGGTCATATTCTCGGAAACTGAAACTATTCTTTTCTGAAAATCGCATTTCCATTCTATCTCGCAAATTTTTTTTTTAAACCGAATCTTGCGAAGCCTACCAATATTGCGTTAGGCATATTCGGAGATTGCTATATTATCAGAAACTGGATTGCGTTCTTTTCTGAAAATCGCATCTTTACTCCATTTCGCAAAAAAAATTCAAGATTGCAGTTTGTAAAAACCAAAACTTTGCGGCACCTAGCCTAGATCTCGTTCATTATACTCTTCTGACATATCCTACTCATCATAAATCGACAGATATATACAAAAAAAAGGAAAAGGAAGTAGTCCTCTTTTATTTTTATTTGTTTTATTTTATCTGTTGATTAGGGCCGGAGGAAAGCATTGTTGGGTCGGTTACCTCCCTCCGTTTTCCCTCCCGCCCACCCCTTGCATGCATCCCATTTCGGTACAGTGCCACGTCACAGTGCCAGATCAGCAGTGCCACGTCGCAGTGCCACGTCAACACTGCCACGTCACAGTGCCAAGTCACAGTACCACGTCAGCAGTGCCAGATCAGCAGTGCCAGGTCACAGCGCCACGTCAGCAGTGCCACGTCACAGTGCCAGATCAGCACAGCCACATCAGCAGTGCCACGTCACAGTGTCAGATCAGCACTGCCACATCAGCAGTGCCACGTCACAGTGCCAAGTCACAGTACCACGTCAGCAGTGCCACGTCATAGTGCCAGATCAGCAGTGCCACGTCCGCAGTTCCAGGTCACATTGCCACGTCAGACATAGTGCCACGTAAGCAGTGCCACGTCAGACACAGTGCCACGTCAGCAGTGACGTTCGACACAGTGCCACGTCAGCAGTACCACGTCAGACACAGCGCCACATCAGTAGTGCCACGTCAACAACATGACGGGCTTGCCAGGCCAACTGGCCAATGAGACCATTGTCGCCTACAAGCAGCGTTGCCTGGCTCAGGTAGAGGCTGAGGAACAACGCCTGCTGGCAGTCGAGGCTGCCCGCATACAGGCTGAAGAGGCAGCAGCAACAGAGAAACTGCGGCTACAGACCGATGCAAACGCAGATGCCCAGGCTCGCCGCAAGGAAGCCCAGGATCTGCTGCAGCGGCATGAAGCCAACAGCATCGACAGACTCAAGTACTGACATTTTAAACCGAACGGCGACGAGGCAACACCGGAAGAGAAGCACAAGGAGTTCCTCTTCAAACTCGTGACGCGGTTGTTGTATGCTTGCAACTACCAAAGGTCAGAGTTGGAGAGACAACACCGGGACCTGACGCAACAGCATCAGGAATTGGCGACGCTCCGCCGCACAGTGCAGAGCCACGAGGATGCAACTCGGGCACTCAATGCCCGATTGTTGGACCTGGAACAGGCTGTACCACGACCAGCTGTTGGAGCTTCCAGCAGTGCACCCTCAAGCCGCCAACTGGAGGACCGCGTTGACCACGTAGTGGCAATGCTCGGCAACATCAGCACCTTCGCTGCGCCGACCACCACCATCACCAATCAGCTGCATACATTGAAGACTGAGGTCCAGAAGCTGCAGTCGACAAACGCGGACGACAATCCGAAGATGTACAAGATGCCAACTTTCAACCTGCAGAGGTTCGACGACTACACGCAGCAGGATCCCGTCCTCTGGTGAGAAGCATTCACAATGCAACTCAGGATTCTGCCAGTAGCCAAGCATGCGTACATCGGCGCCCTGTTCCTGAACTCAAAGGGCGGATGCCAGACCTGGTTGAGCCACCTGGCAACCTTCCACGGCGTCGACGTACCAGACTTGAAGGACGTAATCACATGGGAGGAACTGACACGGCTGTGGAAGAAGCGGTTCATCGTCGACGACGCGCCGGCACTCGCCATCAACCGTTTGTTCACCATGTCACAGGGCAACACAAAAAAACGGGACTGGCTCACGGAGTGGCAGAAGATTGCGGCTGTGCCCAATCTGAACCTACCATTCGAGCATCTACGCCGTGAGTTCTAAAACAGGTCCTGTGCGGCATTGAGCCAGACTCTTGGTGATCGCGAGCAGTACTCAACCTTCGCGGAGATCATTGACAAAGCGAGGAAGATCATCAAGACCAACAGGTCAGCTGCACACGAGAAATCAACATCATGGCAGCCGACCTATGTGGAGAAGGTACGAACTGGTCTGCGACAGCAGCACTTCGCTGCAGTCTAGCAGGACAGTGGAGATAACCCAGCAGCCACTCCAGTATCAAGTGACGGAGATCAGGTGGCCGTTATCCAGCCGCGAAGCACCAACAAGTCCTGCAACAATGGGAAGGCGAAATCCGCATCGCAGGCCGGAAATGGACAGCCAGGACAGTTTCCATGGGTCAAGTTTGGCTTGACCGAGGTGGAGTACAAGGTCCGCGGTCGCTACGGCAGCTGCTATTGGTGCAACAGCACCAAGCACAAGACCTCCCTGTGCCAAGATCAGGGCAAGGAGGATGTGCGACCCCGCCTCAGCTCGGGAAACTGAGCCCCGCGGAACGTGAGGGGACTCCACCTTCTACTTCGCCAGATTTTGCCGCCTTGCTAGCGGCCTTCTGCACATCTGGGAGGATGCGAATGTCGCAAGTCCTCGGTATACTTACGAGGATTATGCTGTCCACTTGGTTCCACCGCTGGACCAACCGCTCCACGTGCAACAGTCCACCGCATGCACGGTTTCATCACCATCGGCAACCGATTCGGCAGCTTCACCGCAATCTATCGTCGGGGATTCGACGTCATGGTCAAGACTTGATGAGCTCGATCCGTTGACGTTCACGGACTTCCAGTGGATGCCCGTTTCCTCGACCGGACGATTGTCGAAACCGCATTGCAACGTGCTTATGCCACAACTACGGGACTACTTGCACTCTGCAGTACCAACTCCGTTGATGGACGCCGGAGTAGCGGTTGTCGACCTTCACGTTTTTATCGCGAAGATCAACCGCGAGTTCAAGACGCAACGGTACGACGACATCGACGCACCATTGCTATACATACGCATTCAGATCGGAGAGGCGACCTGCAGTGCCTTGATCGATTGCGGAGCATCTCGCAACTACATCAGCCAGGACTTCATGGTACGCGCCGGCCTTGGCCCACGTGTCCGGAGGAAGTCCCAGCCTACGCAAGTCACTCTGGCAGACGGTCATACGCACAAGTCCATCGACCGGTGCATTGACGCC